TTAAGAAAGTAATCAACACAGCTTTGAAGGAAATTTCTCTCATTTTACATCAATGTCACTCAGCATGTTTATAAATAAACCACTCTATCTAAATTAAAGGCAAGCTTTTGAAAGCTTAAGGAAAGAGAGTTCTCAATCTCATACAAGCTCTCTATAAAACCCTTCCCCAATCTTTTTAGAAATTGCTCTCATTTTTAAAAGTACAAGAAAATGAGAGCAATTTTTAAAAAGAAAGGGATGAGGTCTCATAGAGAGCTTTTGTGAGATAGAGAGCTTTTTTCTTGAGCTTTCAAAAGCTCACCTTTGATTTAGATGAAATGTTCTATTTATAGACATTTGGAGTGGTATTAATGTAAAATAAGAGCAATTTCTTTCAAAGTTATGTTGATTACTTCCTTCAAATAGAATTTGGTGATGTAAGAAATAGTATAAGTGGGAGTGATGTGATTATGACATACTTTTTTTATTTTTTTAATTAATTAATTTATTGTTTGATTAGGGGAAGTATCCCAAAGCAACCATCTTTATGGTCATCTTCGAAATCGATCAATGACTCATAACTAGTTTTGCTTTATGATTCATCAAAACGACTCTTAAGCAATTGTCGTGTGATTGAGAAATATTCTTCCTCCGTTTCAACTTTGGCTAAAAGACCATTGACTTCAGATTTTTTAGCCGGAAATTTAGGTGTGTGTCACTTATAATTTTTTTTTCTTTAATTATATGGTCTTTGTGAGGATAACCATGTTTCAATTGTCGCTTTGTCTCGCCTTGCTGGATTAAGCAAATTTATCCCACCATTTTACCTTTAAGGTTCTAGTAAGAATGAGGATGAACACATCGAGATCATTGTTGATTATAAGCATCTATCTTGACTAAATATTCCCAAGAGAAAACTCATAAAATGAAGAATTTATCACATGTAAATAGTGGGGAGGAAAAACTTATTCAAATTTTACAGGGATATATTTATATTTGAAGGTTATATAACCCCGATAAATACCAACTTATAGAATTTATGGAATGACACCAAACCATTTTTGCCGGGAAATGAACCAAAAGGGCGAGATGGTATTAGGTTTTGGTGTTGAAGAAAATTAGCCAAAAACGTTTGTTTAGTTTGTTTTGGATAAAAAAAACTATTGTACTAGGCTTGTTGGTAGTCCCAAAACTTGTACGTAGGATTAAAAGGCAGGTTTTGTTAAAATCCGGCTTGAAATTTCTTTGGAGTATTGAGAATCCATTGGGTGAATCATGTTTTAGATGTTGGCATTGGACTAGGTGGGGTGGTTTTTCTTGGCCGGTATAGAAATTTTTAATTTTCATAAATTTTATCTCAATAAGTATGTATTCATAGTATGTTTGTGGTTTGGTGAAGTCCAATGGCTTGTAATTCCAGCTTTGAGAGAATAAGTTTTGAACCGAAGATAAAAGGTTAATATCGTAAAATCCATCTTCAATTGTCAAAATTATTTGATAATTTTTTTTTGTAATGCATTGAGAATAAGGATTTTAGAAAGAAGTCACGTTTGGAAAAGCATTTATATAAATCAATCTTGAAGGAAAACTTTGTGAAACATCGTTTTAAGAAACATTTTGTAAAATTGTTTGAGAAAGTGGTTTTGAAATATCCATGCTAACTAGTCTCGTGAAGAGTAACTTGCTTTTTGGCAATTTGTTCCAGCAATTCATAGATTGTTTTATTGTGTGGTCTAAAGGCCAAAGAGTCTTGGAGACCGAGCATAAACTCTTGGTGTCATGGGATAGAGGCTATCCATTTTTTTTGACATCATTGTTCTTTTATCGTGACTTTGAGCTGCTACATTGTCCTTCGCATTCTTCTTGGAATATTGGTTTCTAAAATTTGGTTTTGTAGTGAGGAGATGATGGTTTTGTTGAGCCTTATAGGGTTTGTTTGCCTTTGTCTACTAAAAGTTTTTTAAAAAATCATTTTGATCTATTATATGAAAATTATCGTGTCGGATATTGTGGGACTTGATTCACTACCGCCGAGATCTCTCAAGGTTGAAGTATATTGCTAGCCAATTACCCATGTGTGGCATGGTTTATTATTATAACAAAATATCTTTAATTATTATAATTTATTTTATACTAAATATAAACTAAAAAACAATTAGAGTGGACAAGAAAGAAACATGAACTAAAAAAGCACAATAGGGTTAGTAAAAAAATATTATTAAATTTTAACTGAACTACTAAACATGTACCGACATATTTAAAAAAAAAAAGTTCTTCATAAGTGAAAGATTTTACTTGAAATTCAATCCGTAAGAAGGCACAAATGCAAGTTCTATAATAATCACAATCAATGCAGTTCAAACAATTATAAAGGGTTAAAAAAAACCCAAATAAATCAAAAGAGTTAAATTGAATGTAAAATAAAAAAATAATAATAACCAAGACGATAATAAATACTATAAATAAAACTTATAGAATTGTAAAATCATAAACGAACAAAATTAAATTTTAAGAAAAATTAAGTTTGGAGTTTGAATAAAAATACAATTGCAAAGCATAGAGCTTGTGAAAATTATAGAGAATTTGTATGGAAGTTTGCTTGAAACGGTGTGGGCTAGAGATAAAATGACCATCACTACCTCAATTATTATTTTAACGAAAAGAATCAAAACCCACATGAGAAGTCAGCTCTTAATTAATTTTTTTTTTTTTAACGATAAGGGGTCTGTGAATCAATTTTCATATATTTTAAATTTTTTTTTCCTTAATGTTATTAAGGAATGTTTTCTAAAAAATAATTTCAGATATTATGAAAATAAATTCTTAAGAGTGTTAATCATAAAAATTATATTCTAAACCTGAAACTATCATTTTGTGATAAAAAAAAACGTTATTTAAGACAATTGACAAAGTTAGAATCGAATATAGAAATAAAAAACTTATTTTAAATAGAACATGGAGTCCTTTACCATTATCGAATACAAAGAACCTTATGCACGTGAGTGAATAAAATAAAAAAATAAATAAAATCTCATATAAATCCTTCAAAATTAAAACAATTGTGAAAATCTTAAAAACAATTAGGATTTGAATTCCAAATTGGATTTGGATAATACCAGGCTCCGTTTAAAGCCGACCCAGTGAGCATAAAAAATGGAAAGTTGCATGGAAGACAAGTGTAGGAAAACCAGCAAATAAGACAAAGAAAACGAAAGCAACACAACTCTCATGAAAACGGCAAGGTCAAATTGGTAAAAAGAAACAAAGGGATAACCCAAAAAAGGAAAATTATCAAATTTGCTTCCGCCAGTCCGGATCTTTCGCGACGCTGTTTGCAGACAAAATTTCTTCCCCGCAGAACAAAAAAGTCTCCCTACTCACTCCTCTCTCTTCTCTATTACTATTTAAATGGTACTATCTCTTTTCTTTATTATTATTATTTTTTTTTACCATTTGCTCTCTCGATCTTTTATAAATATTTTTTTATTTTTTAAATATTTTAAATTTAAAAATCTAAACTAATTAATCGTTATTCTGTCAAACACATAAGACGAAGATAGATAAATAAATAATTTTTTTATATATAAAAATTTAAATTTGAAATCGAGCCTTTTGATTCAAGCTGACTCTCTTAGTTTATTTCATAAATATTTTTTAGACAAAAAGTTTGAGCAAATTTTGAAATACAACACTTTTTTTTTTAATTAATGGATAGAAAATGGGGTTAAGCATTTGGCTGATTCAATTAGTCCACATAGTTACATCCGGACATGCCAAACTATGTCCGAACCTCAGTCGATCACAGTAGCTTGAGATACTTGGATTTATATGTTTTTTTTTTTACTCTCTTTCATTTGTCTTCCCGAATTAAAAAGCCTAAGTCTGTTACAATTTTTTAAATAAAAATGATAAATAAACTGTTATATCAAATAAAAACAATACGTGAAATAACAAATTTATCACATGTTATTTTTTATATAACATATCATTCTATTTATTATTTTTTATCAAAAAAATTACCGATATTCTACTAAATGAATCACATTAAATATTTAAAATAAATGAATCAAATAAATAAATAAATCACATTAAAAAAACATTAAATCTCTGCTTGGTTATATCTCATCCATATTTTTTTCAAGATACAAACCTAATTTTTTATTTTTTTATATCCAAGTTGAATTCTTTCCGACAAATATAATTTTAAAATGGAATAAGCATATTGATATAAAAATCAATTTGCTTACCAGTGTTTGTAAAAATCTTGTATCTTGAATTATGTAATAAGATATATAACTTTAATTAATCTTAATCGCTTAATTAACTCACAGGACCTCTATTAATATAGTTGTTTAATTATTACACAGATGAGTTAAAAACATAAAAAAGAAAAGCAGTAGCTCGGTCTGTCTGTCTCTAGCTAACACCTCTCTGGTTTTACGCTGGTTGGCAGCTTAAACCGCACAACACTCTCATTATTTATGTCCACCTAGTTCCATTTCTATCTCCTCCTTACTTTCCTCTCTCTCTCTCTCTCTCTCTCTCTCTGCCTTTTCTCCATCTAGAAACGCCGCCAACCAGAGTGAGTAGTGAGTAGTCTCTTTCTTTGTGTAAGCTCAAATACTGGGTTTCTGCATGCATTGTATTTCTTGCTGGGGGCTCATCAAACTCTTAATTTACCAATGATTTCTTGATAAAAACCTAAAAAAATAAACTCTCAGTTTAGATTCTGCTTAACTAGCTAGCTTCGTGACTATCGTTGTTGTATCAGACATGGGATGTGGGAGTTTTTTTAGTAAGTAACGGTTTGAGGTAAATTTTCGGTTTTGGTTCTTCAGTACTTGGTGGGGTGAAGTTTGTTTTCTTTTTTCTTTCTTTGTTTGTTTGTTTCCTGAGAAAAATTTTGTTTTTAGTGTGGGGTTTGTTTGGGTCTTAAAGGGATTACATTATTATTTAGTTTCTTTTTCGAACCAAAAACCAAAAAGAAAAGAAAGAGAGGGGGAGAGAGAAGGAAATTAATAATGGCACCAGCTACTAACTGGCTTTCTTTTTCACTCTCTCCAATGGAAATGTTGAGGTCATCTGAATCTCAGTTGATGTCTTATGAGACTTCCTCTACTGCCTCTCCTCACTACTTGATCGATAACTTCTATGCTGATGGTACGTATTACCCTTTTCTTTTTCTTCTTTATACATACCTATCTTATAAATTTCCTCCACTTTGTTTATCTTTCAAAGTTAATCCATATACAGATATCATGAAAAGGCTCAACTTGTGTGTTTGGTTGCTGAGAAAGTGGCACAAGGATAAAAGAATAAGATATTATTTACTTGATGATAAGCAGTACTGATTATTTCTTGTTTCTTTGGCAATCAAAATGGAACCAGAACCACTGTATATGTTCACTTTTGCACCCAATAATAACATGTATGTGCAAAAAATTAATACCATTCCATCCTTGATTTTGTACCTCTTTTCTGTTTGGTTGAAGGCATGCAATTTGAGATATGGGGAGGAACTTTTCGTGTTTGTTTATTTATGAGTTCCAAGAATCAAATGATAATCCTAAGCACAAGTAGTAGTAGTAGTAGTCTAGTTGCACTTGCACTTGCACTTTGTAAGAAATTTTAGCAAGTTCAACAGGCAGTCCTTGTGTATTCTCAGAGCTTAATGATTACTGGTATTAATTTACTGTAGGAGGCTGGACAAACCCCAAAGAAGCACAAGTCACAACCACGACGATGGCGGAGAGCTCTAGTATTCTGACAAGCCTTATAGACCCAGAAACTCAACACCAACAAGTCCCAAAACTGGAGGATTTTCTGGGAGATTCTTCATCATCTATTAATGTTCGATACTCGGATAATAGCCAGACAGAGACACAAGACTCGTCCTTGACTCACATCTATGATCATCACGGCTCTGCAGCTGCTTACTTCAACGAGCAACAAGATCTTAAAGCCATTGCTGGCTTCCAAGCCTTTTCGACTAACTCAGGCTCGGAGGTTGATGACTCGGCTTCGATAGCTCGAACACAGCTTGGTGGTACTGTCAGTGAGTTTATTGAGTCGACTGGAAATGAGCTGGGGTTCTCTAATAATGCGGCCTTGTCACTTGGCCGGGTGAATAATGATACTAGCAATAACCCGTGTGGTGGTGCTTCTACAGAGAAGCAGATTGCTATTGTTTCTGCTGACTCTGATAGCTCTAAAAAGATTGCTGATACTTTTGGCCAGCGAACTTCTATTTACAGAGGAGTTACCAGGTAATTAACAATCAAACCGTTCATTAAATTGGATTTTTTTTCTTTTAATTTCTTTCCCTGAAGCATCTAGTAAGTTTTCCCAATACTTCTACTGATTTGATGTTCATTTGAGGGGGTTTTTTTTTTTTCTGAGAAATATTTTGGTTTCCAATGTCATTGCTGCTACTGCTGCTGCAGACATAGATGGACAGGTAGATATGAAGCGCATCTATGGGATAACAGCTGTAGGAGAGAGGGTCAGGCTAGGAAAGGGCGTCAAGGTCATCTCTCTCACTCTTTCTATATATATGTATATATATATATTTCAGCACCTTTAAAGGGCGCCTGGTTTTCGAACCAGGAGTAGAAGTGAACAGGAAAGAAACTTGGATTGCATGCATTCAGACTTGAGAGGCAGGCGGCCACGCCCATTTTTCTTAACTAATAGAGAGGCCAGAATTTATTAAGTGTGGAAGGGAACTTTCACTTGTTTCGTTCATCTGGCTTGGCTGGCTTGCTTTTTAGACGAGTATCTGATTGATGGGCTGATGGGTTTTAATATATATAAAAGAAAAGGAAGACGTTCAACTGTTGCTTTTGTTTCTTTCCATCAATTCTGTGATTGATTTGATCAGATGTGCCGCCATTTCGTTCATCTTTTGGACTTTCTCTATCTTCTCTCAACTGGGTCCCCTGTCTACTGCTGCAAGCTTTGTTTGACACGACCCACGTCCACATACTCCCCATGCCTCAGACGTTATACACATCAATGAATTGAATATGCATCGCTCTTTCTCAGCTCAGCTGTCTTTTTTCTTACTTTTGCTTTCTCTTCTTTTCTTTTCTTTTCTTTCAGCTAACTGCGGTAAACAGCAGCTTGGGTGGTCTAGGTTTTGACTAGCCACCCACATTTTTCAACTTGAAAAATATCTTTTCTTTTCGATAAGATTTCGGCCACTCCCACTTTTATTGCCTGAACTTGCTGATGCCTGGGATAATGGCCTGTGCATATCCCTTTATTCGTTCACAATCTCACACAGTGGCAGCAGTGCCTAGGAAAAAATGCTGGACCAGAAATTATGAAACTTTGATTTGAATAATAGAAATCCTAGTTGAAAGTTTGCCTCGGTTGGGTTTTCATTTCGCAGCGTGTTCAAATTTGGACTAACATATTTTAAAATGATGAAATTATATATATTATGTTTGGTAAATGACTACTAGCTAGCTAGACCTTTAGTATTATATGTTGAATGTAGTACAATAATGATCTCTTTCTGCAGAGACAGTCACATGCAAAGACATGCTTCTTGCTTTATTTATTTGTTGCTTGGCTTGGAGGAATAAACTCAGTCTGAAACTTTTGACTGACCTTAGTTTCCCACGTTTAAAATTCTTTCTTTGATCATTTTTCTTTTGTTTTTTTGGGACTGGATGATCCTGGCTTTCTGGCTGCCACTCAACTGGAACTTTTCAATATGTTATCTACAGTGTACTTAGGTAAGCTAACTTCTTCCTAATTTATTTTCCTCTTCAAGCTGGTATTTCTAGTGCTCAATTAAAAAGTTCCAGAAATAATAGACATGATTGATTGTTGTACGTGACTGTAATTTATCAGGTGGGTATGATAAGGAAGAAAAGGCAGCTAGGGCTTATGATTTGGCAGCTCTAAAATACTGGGGTCCAACTGCAACCACCAACTTCCCTGTAATTCTTATGCTTTCTATTTATTCATTCATGAGCTCTGCAGGAGAATCTATGCAGCCTGTAGCGTAAACTCATTTAGTTATTGAAGCAAGGTGGCATCTCTCTCCCTGCAGGTTTCGAATTATACTAAAGAAGTGGAAGATATGAAGTATGTGTCCAAGCAAGAATTCATTGCCTCGTTGAGGAGGTATGCAAAAATCCAGCTCTGGTTTCTTCCTTTTTTTGATGTTCCTGCAGTTTGTCGAGCAAAATTCTGTGTGTTTTTGCAGGAAAAGTAGCGGTTTTTCTAGGGGAGCCTCTATTTACAGGGGTGTCACAAGGTTTCGGTCTCCTACTTCAAATTCCTTTTCTTGATCTCTTATTTCTAGCTTGCAGCTTATACGAGCTAGTGGTAACATTTGCTTGTCATGCATTTTGCAGGCATCATCAACAGGGTCGTTGGCAAGCAAGGATAGGCCGTGTTGCCGGGAACAAAGACCTCTACCTTGGCACATTTGGTAAGTATTCATTGTTCTCCTAAGCAAATTAATTGTCATCGTCCTCTTGTTTCAGAAATTTTCTGCATGAATTTGTTGTAATTGATCATAATCGTCAGCAAGATTCTTGCACCCTACCGTTCACGCAAGCAATCGAATACTTCATTAAAAATGTAATTGTATGGTAGGAAAATTTATCCTGAATTAATAATAGTCTTCTGGTCTTGCAAATGCCAACAGCCACAGAAGAGGAAGCAGCTGAGGCGTATGATATAGCTGCCATAAAGTTTAGGGGTCTGAATGCAGTGACCAATTTTGAGATGAGCCGATACAACGTCGAAGCTATAATGAAAAGTGCTCTTCCAGTTGGTGGTACAGCAAAGCGCTTAAAGATCTCACTAGATGCCGAGCAGAAACAACATGTAAACAACAACCAGCAGCCGCAGCCGCAGCCCCCACCGCAGCCCCAGTGCAGCAGCAATAGCAACAACATCAGTTTTGCCGCTGTTCAGCCAGTTTCTGCTGCAGTTCCTTATGGCATTCCGTTCGATCCCTCCGCAGCGCTTTATCATCACAATATCTTCCACCACCTCCAAACCACTAACAACTTCGGTGCAACTGACTCCTCTGGTTCCACCACCTCATCCATGGCAACTCCAATGACTATATTGCCGCAAACTGCTGAGTTTTTTGTATGGCCTCACCAAACTTATTGACCAAATTGTAGTTTTGACATCAGAAGTTCAGCTAACATGCGTTGGCAACAGACTTAGCTTCTTCGTGGAGCTTCTAGCTAGCTAGCTGAAAATTATAGCTGACCCTTTTTGCCCTAATGTTAATCTACTACAATGGTAGGATTCTGGATTTTGTAAGCTACTCTTAATTTTAAGTGGGTGTTGGAGATCTGTTTCGTTAAATGATGGTGGCATCTCTTTAGTTGTCGGAAGGTTTTGAATTATCCTCCGACTTCATGAGCTGGACCCGCCTTCTCTTCATTCATATTTTTCTAATTGGTTTACTATAATTAACGTGTACAATATTCAATTAATAAGTTGTTGATTTAGCCATTAGGAGGGATTAATTCTTGTCGTTTTTTATCCAAATATGATTAGTTATGGAGATACTTGAAGAAAAAGAAAATACGTACAGTATTCATAAGAAAATTTGTGACAAGTATTTAAACCTATTAGAAAAATAAACTGGTTTTCAATAGGTTATAATGACAATCCGAAAGGGTTGACCTAATGGGTTAGAAAAAAATATCTGCTTTATTTCTTGATTTTTTACATTAAAATCTTGGGATTAGTATCCGGAGTAATATAAATCGGTTTTCAATTGGTCATAATGACAACCCAAAAGGGTTGACCTAAATACCTAGTAGGTTAAAAAAATATCTGCTTTATTTCTTGATTTTTTACATTTAAATCATGGGATTAGTCTTTGGTGATGTTTATTAAATTTTAGAGTAGGATGTGTTTTTAAGATCATTTGAAATGTAATTTAGTTTTAGCTCACTAAGAGATTTAGTTTTAGCTAACGTATAAGTCATTTTTAATTTTAAATCTTAGGGTTAGTATTAATTTTTTTGAAAATAAATCAAAAGGATGCAGGAGAGTGTTGGTTGACGCAAGTGTTAGGAAACAAATCAAGTAAAAAAATAGAGTAGAAAGATAAAAACAATCACATAATACGAGAGATTTACACGGTTCGATAATTGTGCTTACTACTATACGGTTGTATTAGGATTTTTTATTAAGTTTTATCAAATGACAATTATAAATACAAGTACGTTGTCTTTATTTATAGTGTAGACGATTAAGATTATATAAAAAGATCTAACGAGTCTATACACTTGACTTAATATTCTGTAAATTTTTCGAGCACTTCGTCTCAAGCCCTTGCATAGAGTGTTGTCTCCTTAACCTTTGCTCGATAACTAACTAGCGAGACTACCGTGTGCATCATGACTTATACCACTGGACTCCATTTACATCAATCTCCATGAGGTTGTTCGAGTTTTGGTCTAATGACTATTTTGTAATATCAATTTGTACATGCTTTAGGCTACTCTGTGCCTTTTTAAATTTTTTGAGAAAGTGAGGTTAGTATGAAGATTTCAAAGCTTTTCTGAAGGAAAAAAAAAGAAGAAAATTCAAATTTATCACTCAACTATCATGGTAGTTATAATTGTAAATCCAAAGTATTATTTTGATTAATTTTAGTATAAATAAATTTTTATTTCTAAATTGAAATATTCTGTTAAATACAGTTAACAAAATCATTAAATATTAATTTATTCCTCGCGTGATTTTTATAAATGATGAAACTGGAAAAAGATTCCCAACGGAGGATGAAATTGAAAGAAAATTTCCTTTTTTCAGTGTTGTGAGATGGAAAGATATGCGAAGAAATAGTAATTAGAGTTATTGTTTGGAAGATTTGAGATTTTATATTTTGATATTACATAGACACATTGCTTGTTTTGACAAATAAATAAATAAATTCCCCTTCAAATCTCCTCCTTTGGTAGGGATTTTTTTTTTAACGGATTAAATTATGGAGTTAGTAATTACGTTGAAAGTGTTCTCATATAAAAATAACGAAACAATTACATATTTGGTGTGTGTATTTTAGATTTTTTTTATTTGAGAGTGAATTTTTAATTTTTTTATAATCAAATGATTTTTTTAGATTCCGTTATATATATATATATATATAGGAATTATTACAAGAGTGATTTTTAAGAATGTAAAGGTTAATTTTTTAAGTATTTTTTGTATATTATTAAATTGGAGGGTGAATTGTTGGTGGAAAAGATAAAATAATTAAAATATTAGTAATGATTTGAAAGAGAGGAATAAAAAAATTACTTTTAAGTGTGTATTTTGATGAAAAAGGAGGTTGGTCTTGTAGAGAGAAAATTTTAGTGAATTCAAACATATCCCTCGTCACTCGAAACCTTATTCCGAGCAACAAGCTCAAATGAAAAAAGAGCATTACGCAAAAACCAAAGGTTAAAACACAAAATTAAATTGGTAAAAAAGAAGAAGAAAGCTTTGCATTACGCTGGGACAGGATAGAAGGAATGACATGCCTCACACCGGAAATAGGCCTTATTGTGCCAGAAACCTCCTTGCTATGTGGACTCGTGAGTTTCGCAATCCTAGCTTTACCACTTTTACAAATAAGAGCAATGATTTCTTACTCGCCCGGGATTTATGCAACTGCTACAAGATCAGAAGTTTCATGAACCTGGGTTTTTATTGCTATATAAAAACCTCCATTTCTATATTTTTGGACACAACCCGTAACGATTTGCCTGTTTTTTATGCATAAATCCTCCGTGAGAATTTCCCATTAATAGCATTTAACAAGCCTGACAACCATTTGCTTCGACCTGCATTGTAAGGTTAGACCATTCATTGAACATAAAAACACACCGGATTGAATCCATCGGTAAAATATGGGTTCGATTCTCAATCAACAAAAGTAAAATATAATGTGTTTATGTAACTATGGGTCAAAAGTCATCTTGGGCTCAAAGGAGCTCGAGTTTGAAATAAAGGTGTCTCCTAAAGACGAAGGGTTAGAAAGTGAGGAGCATTTGACGGTAGAGAAGTATGGTCACAAATATCTCTTTTGAGAAAGATGTCGTCAGGATCGGAATCCCCTGTAGGAAAGGTTAGAAGCAGAAGGTATATCCATATCCGATAATCCTCAATCTATGGTGGCTAAATCAATAAAATATGTCCAAAATCTCTCATGAATGAAAAGCAAAGGCCTATTCATCGATTTTTTCTATATATTTATGTCAAACAGAGAACCCACAAGCGAGTGAGATAACTTCAGACAAATTATATTTTAATATACAGAATTCTAATTTTAATCATGTACATAATTTAAATAATGAGGTCATACTTCTTGTTATTTTTATTCCGAATAAAATTAATTTTATCCCTAATATGAAATAAAAATATATAAAAAAAAATTCAAAAGATATGACAACACCTTAGCAGATGAGGAATAAACATTTGGTTGGAATGCTTACATGGCTTCGTGATAAATGCCAACTCATTTGTCCAAATGGCAAGCTCTAAACACATGAACTGCTCAATTTGAATCTCTTTTTCACCTTTTTTTTTTTTTGTACAGATATTGATTGATTGATTGATTAGTTTGTTTAAAATTTTTGTAAAATTTGTTCGTTTCTTTGAATTGATGCAACATAAGTATTTCAAGACGGCCTATTCATCCCTCTTTTCTCTACATTTATGCCAAACATGAGCAACCATATGGGACTAATTAGAACCCTGTACAAAGAGCCAGTGGGAAGTGAAAATGTTGATTTTTCCCCTCTCATACATAAAAAGGCCATTTTGACATTTGCCTTCGCATAGAACAGCCAAAAAACGGCAGCAGCACAAGTAGCAATGGCTTAAAAGTTATTAAACCAGCAGCAGCAGCATCACTCCATCACAAGTTGCATATGACGATTGAGATCGTCGAGGTACGTAGTGCAAGTATAATCTTGCAAGTCACAGCCATCCAGAAGGACTGCCCTCCCTGCATTTGTCTTCTGCTTGAACTCCACAGGGACTTCCTCGCCCCTCAATAGCTGCACAACCTGAACTTTCCAATATTTGCTTCAGCTACATGTATAAATTTTGGACAGATCTAATGCAGTACTCTCCCTTCTCACATTCATGCAGACATAGTTTTGCGTGAATGCGAGGAAAGGAAGTATAGAATAATATTCCTAGCTAATTCCTATATTTTTGTATGGGTTATCCCGTATTCTTCGAATTTTTTTATTTATTGAGACCCTCTATTCTTTTTTGGTTTGATTGCGACTCTTCAGATTTCTTATTTCAGATTGTCCGTTATAACGCTACAAATCAGTGTTCGATATGCCACCTCTATTCTTCGAGATTTCTTATTTTACAATGCCACGTTTTGATCACTGATTGGTGGAGTGTCTGAAACAAGAAATCTCGTAACGTAGAGGTTCTCAATCAAGCCACAAAAAAAAAAAAAAAACAGAGTAGAGGGTCTCAGACAAAAAAATTCGAAGAATACACAGAATCTAAATGTGGGAAAAACCCATTTTTGTATGATATATATATGTATATATAATACTAGATGGAAAGCAGAGTTCATACTCGGATCATGTGGGGCCGCATACTGGGTACGTGATGAATGCACAATGAAGCTGTAAACATGGCATGCTTCATTTCAATAGGATCATAATCATTTCCCAGCCTGAGATCAACTAATTCTTTAGCATTGTTTGCCTCCAACAATGGTTTTGCCTGCGCATAGATCAGACATTTATACATCTTGTCAAAGCTTTCTTGAACATATATAATATGGTTTTAACAACGTGCAAGGAGGTTAATCTGACATGGGGATATGTCTATAATGCTGATATGTATGAGATGATTTACTTTTAAACCCAAGGGATTATGCATAAGCGGGTCTTACCCACATCACAAGGCTCTGTCTACTTGAATCAACAGCACGGCGGCCTGTTATGATCTCGAGTAACAGAACCCCATAAGCAAATACATCGGTCTTCTCATCAACAATCCCATGCATGAAGTATTCAGGAGCCAAGTACCTGAAATTCAGTTTCTAAGTTAAGAAGACAGAATACAGGTGAACTTAACTTGTGAAACGGATCAAAATGCTAGCAACAAATTACTGAAGCTGCTGCAAACACCTCACCCGAATGTTCCTTCGATAGGGAAGACAATATGGTGAATCCAATTTTCTGGAAGCCACTTTGCCAATCCAAAATCAGAAATCTGAGGTACAAACAAAATCATTCCAAAATAAACCTACAGGAAAGATGGACATGAAATGACAATACATGCTGAATCTAAAAAGCACCTGAGCCTCGAAATTTTCATTGAGCAATACGTTTGAGGCCTTGATGTCTCTATGGATAATGCGCCTCTGGCAATCATGATGGAGATACTGAAGTCCTTCTGCTATTCCCACAGCCACCTTGAACCTTTTCTTCCATTCTAGACTATCTGCTCCACCTGAGATGCTGAATCTCTCCTTATGAGTGAAATAAAAATGTGGTAATCAAAAATTAGATGCTGGTAAACTCTGCGACTAGATGGTCACAAATGCAGAATAATTTTTTTTTTCTTTTTTTAAAGAATAGAGTTAGAGACAGCACCATGGAGCATTGACGCAAGGCTGCCATGAGGTAAAAATTCAAGGACAAGATGCAGACCACCATCAATGCCGAAACCAAGCAATCTAGCTGCATTGGGGTGATTTATATGTGCAATAATCCCAAGCTCTGATAAGAAATCACTGACTCTTTCCTCTTCTTGCTTCTCAGTCTTCGTGAGCTTCTTTACGGCCACAACTTGACCATCAGATAAGCGTCCCTTGTACACTTTTGCATGACCTCCTTCCCCAATCAAATTCTCTATGAATATTTGAAGGATAATTAGAATCATAAGAAATATTAAAGATAGTAAAGAAAGAGGCAAGAAATGTGGTGTAATTACAGCTACTTTGCAGAGGAACAGAGAAATCATTCAATGATGTTGAAGTCGATATCAATAAATCCCCTGCATACATGCACACAGACACCTGTCCTATATTCATCAAAAAATTTACTAACATTTTAAGCTGCTGGTAAATTATAAAGGATTCGCAATCCTAACCAGCAACTCATGATTTTTAAACCTGAAATTTAGATTTATATGATTCAGCAACTAGTCATTTACGCAATGTGAAAGCTAACCAACATGGATTTGGACAGGTTGTAGAAGTCAACTTAATGCGTCAATACAATTGAATGTATGTTTAAAATTTCTCAGTCACAAACTGAAATAGTTCGCAACGAATAAGAAAAGCTGTAGAAAACATCCGTCAGCTAAATCCAAAACTGCAGTCCAAGCTTAAACGCTGACTCGTATTGCGATAGCCATCAGGGGCATTATAAAGTAAGCAAATAGCTGCCTTGATTTTAATGCTAGGCGCAGAGGTCAAGAAGTTTGGTCCCATCATCATTTCCAAAGTTCCAAACTGTCTAATTAGTCAAAAAGATGGTCTAAAGTGGGTGTCAATTACAGGCAGCATTGACTGCTAGTGGGTGGAGGCTATTTCCTTCAAATTTCAAACGTGTAATTCATTTTTTTTTGTTCTTTCTCCATTAGGGCTACACTCTTCCTCATGGTTAAATCTCATCTGCCTCAGTCCTCTCAGGAAATGATCTAAAGTATTAACCTTTGAACCATGAAATAAATTCTCGAATTTATGTCTCCAAAATAAGAAAGCAACCTCCAAAACCCAAAAAGATCCTTAGGCGGCTATCAAGTTTCAACTAGTGGAAATTGGAAGCACAGTTAAGTATGGTAACGAAGAAAGCAAATAAAGAAAGAAAATCCTGTGCGCAGGCAGATATTTTATATATGTGGGTCCGAGAAAATGAAGAGAAAAACGAAAACGAAAAAGAAAAAGCTTACCGGAGCTGAAATTATCAGTAGCAGCCTCAAGCTCTTTATAATCAAAATTCCTCCATGAAGGTTTAGGCACCATAATGCCCTCACAATCAATGAAAACATCAGCGGAATGTTGAATTCTTGCCAATTTCCTTCTCAAATTCTTCTTGGCAATATTATCGTAAGTTGAAAGCAGTGGAATCACTGAAAACCTCCTCATTGATTTCTTCTTAATTGAATCAAGCATTTGTTTCCATTGAAAGCCATTGGTCTCTCGGGAGATCCCCGTTCTTTCAGAGACTAATTTCTCTGTTGAACCTGAGCTGGAACTGCTGATGCTGCTGCTACTGCTGTGATCAGAATCCGTACCTAAAATAGGAATCTCTAATACACATCTTGGTGAAGGGTCTTCAAGAATGGGGGTTCTGTCTTCTTCGTTATCTCATCGTTTGTTTCCATTTTTTGGCTTTCTTCGGTTTCACAGCTTCCTGGCTCTGTATATGCAACAACATGAAACAAAACAACAATTTGTTTTCACCAATCACACCACCAGGGACCCGAAAGAAACGAAAGCCAGCATACCAGAACATTAAATTTAATAAATAAAAGAACAAAAAACCTCGACCCTTTTTGTCTGTTTCCTGTGAAGACAGAAAGAGAAGAAGAAAAGAAAAGCAGAGAGAGACAGAGAAATTTAGAATAAAAGCTTGTTTTTGGTAATGAAAAACCAAAACCCAAATCATTTCAATATAAAGTTTTCCTAAGGCCTAATTTGAAACAGCACTAATTTACTTTTGTCAGGCCAAGTTGAATTTTCTCATTCAAGCTAGCTTCCATTCTTCTTTTTTACCTTCATTGTCTCCGCAACCAAAGAAACACAATTAAAAAACGTCCAGGAAAACGACAAGAGCTTACCTTCCAAAGCCATTATAAAGCTCTATAATTTCTGGATTTCTAGTCTCGATTTGAAAAGAACCAAAAGAAAGGGTCCTCCTCCAATCGAGTTCTAGCTGTAAATACCCAGAAATTAGAAACTTCAGAATGAAACAAACTTAGCTACATGTTTTGGTTATTCAAAGAAAGACAGGCAAGAGAAGAGAGACAAATGGTCTGAAAGAATATTGGTATATCTTTAAGAGTTGGTTATTCTTGGGCAGGAGAGAAGGTAGACAGCCCC